TTCTACTAGGAACACGTGTTATTTGTAAGGTGCAAAAAGTGATTTCAGAGAGCCACTGCTGGTCACATATCCATGATCTGTGAGCCCTTTCTGCCGCAATCCAAGAGATCACGGGTCCAGGCAGCCTGGCAAATGGCTCCTCCTGGCTCCTCCTGACTCCCAAAGGCTCTGTCAGGGGTACCACTGGCCCTCGGATGCAGCTCCATGCCCGTTTCCTCCCCATCATCTCTTTACCCTCCCACGTTTCTGGTGCTCTCAGACCAGCACAGTCTACTTCCACATCAATTAAATTCCACCAACAAGAGGACAATCACTGTAACTAACACTTAAGGAGAACTTACTATATCCTCGCCACTGTGGAACTGCTTCCTTAATCCTCCTAATGACCAGGTTATAGCAAAGGATGAGCAGGTGGGTCACTCACCTGCCCCAAGTCACACGACTGACTAGACTTGGAACCCAGGCCATCCAACGCAGCCTAAACCTTTAACCACCGGACAATAGGTGCTTATGTACCGAGCACCTACTGCATGCAGACCCAGGCCAAAGGTCTAACCCATGCCCACATGGGACTGAATGTCTACTGCTTGCCAGCCTGGGGTTGAGCACCTACTAGGGCTAATCAGGAGCTGTGTGCCTACTGAGCACTGAGCCGGGGCATGCACTGAAAGCACAGTGTCATCCTAAGAGCTACAAGAGCAAAAATAATAAAAAGTAACAGTAACCACAGCCACGTGCATCAGGAGCCTCTGTTCCTGTTTTAAATGTGTTATTTCAGCTCACACTCCCAGTCACTGTCAGAGGTAGGCACTGCCAGGATCCCCATTTTACAGACTAGAACACTGAGGCACAGAGAAAGGGATGTCCTTGCCCAAGGTTACACAGCAAGCAAGAGACACAGTTGGGATGTGACTCAAGAGCCTTTCTAACTCCGGGCTGTTGAAATAAAGAAGACATCACACTGGCCTCATTGGGGGCAGAGATGGGGAAGAGGAATTCTGCCTGGAGGGACCTTCCAAAATCAAAGGTCCGAAGGTATCGGGCTGCAGGTGCACAAACAAAGGTGTGGGCTGGAGAGGTGGGTGGGGACAAACTGACTGGACCTTCAAGCAGACAGCCTGTGCCAAATACCATGGGCGGAAGGGAGCCAGAGAAGGTTAAGAAGCAGCAGAGTAACTTGGTTAGAGATGAGCTTTAGGAAGAATTACTCCAGCAATGGGACTAGAATGGATATAAGACAAGAAAGATCAAGGGCTAAGAGATTGTTGCAATAAGGCCCAGGAGGTGAGGAGCGATGGACCTGTGTTTGGTTTGCCCCTCTTCTGGAAACAGCCTGTCTCCCAACACACACACTGCCACCCTTCCCTTAAGAAGCCACCCTCCCCGAGACTTGGTCTCCTGGTTTGGGTGGGGCTGCCCCTCCCCCACTCCAGGGGTGGGCACTGACTCAGGCCTAGCCAGCCAGAGTCCGACTGGTCCACAATGGGCACGTGAACCCAGCCAGGGCAAGGAGTGTGCGCCAGTCTGGAAACTTCCAATGAAGTCATTGGCCAAGGGTGTCCCTCTCCCCACAGGGATGGCTCTGCCCAAGGCCTGGAAGCCGGGCCGGCTGGTAGCCATCTATATCACCACTCAGGGAGAACAGGCCCTCCTGTCCCCAAGAAGAGTAATAAAGGAGAAATGCAGAGCTGGGGGATGGAGCAGGGAGGGGGTTCTGAGTTTGGGCAGCCTTACCTGCAGCAAGTACTTCCCCGGGCCTTCCAGGAATGGAAGTTACAGACTGACATCTGGCTTAAGCTAATCTGCGTGAGGTTTCTCTCTCTGCACCTGCAAGCTCTCAGGGGACTGAGGTGCAGGGCAAGAAGCCAAGAGCAGAGGCGATGATGGACGGTTAGTGCCGAAGGAGGGGGCCAGGTGCGTCCAGCGCCAGGGAGGCCCGTGCACAGCACAGAGAGCTCCAAACCCTGCCAGCAGAAACAAGAAGACGAGAAACCTTTCCAGAAAACAGCTGCAGTAGACAAGGAGAGGCCAGACCCGGGGGCGAGGAGAGATGAGAAGCGGAACAGGCAGGGCACAGGCAGGGAAGGAAGGGTGCATCAGAGAGAATGCCGGAAGAGGGGCTGTCAGGGAGGAGAGAAAGCCCAGAAGGACATCCCTGCCCCACCCCCGACCCCCCAGCGCAGATGGAGGGAGAGACCACGTGCTGGTTCTGGCTTCCGAGTCCTCCGAGCACCTTGTTAGAGGTTTGGAAACAGGAAGGCTGGGCCAGAAGGGGAGCCTGTCCTCATAGCACGGGCCCCTCGGGCTTGTCGGGACACCTGCCTGGGAATTAGGGCCAGAGAGTCCTCCCTGCCTCACATAAGCAGGCAAGCATGTCTCCTGTAACCTGTAACCCCCAATTTCAAGGGGCCTGACCAGAACCTACCGCACTGAAGAAGCCTCACGGCTGGGAGGTGAGACCGTAAACCACTTCCGGGGTGCCTGGCTGGCTTGGTCAGAAGTGCGAGCAACGCTTGATCTCAGGGTCATGAGTTTGAGCCCCACATGGGGTACAGAGATTACTTCAATACATATAAAATACATTTTTTTAAAAAAAAATCTAAACCCACTTCCTTAGAGAGATGAGGCCAAGACTATGGGCCTTTGAGCCAGTCTGCTTGGGTTCAAGTCCCAGCTCTGCCAAGTCCTAACTATGTGATTGCAGACAAGTCACTTAACTTCTCTGGGTCTTGCTGTACTCATCTGTGGAAGGGAGACAATCTCAGTCATGGAGACAAGGCACGTCGAGGGCAGCGACTTGCATGTATAAAGTTACTAGTCCGCATTCTGAGTCCTTTGTCGTGGGTTATGAGGACACGGCTGGGGGAAGGAACGCATTTTTCCAAGACGAACCAAAGCAGACACAGCCACCGTAACTCGCCTATACATTTGTCCAACAGATGGCCGGGGAAGACAGGCAGATTTCCAGCCAAAGCAGACGGAGCCTTCAGATCCCACAGCCCATTCATAAGATCAACAAGCAGCAGGGGAAGCATTTTTAGTCCCTGGCAAGGCACTCCCAGCCCTGCCTCCCTGCTGGTTGGGGGAGGGGTCAGGGTAACACCCCCCTCCCCACCCCCTGCAAAGCCCAAGGGAGGAAGGAAGTGTTCTCTGACCGCACCAAGCCCTTCCAGCTTCGCCCAATGGCCCAGAGCATCTGTTCAGAATCTATTCTATTGACAGGATGCTCTTTCATCCCTGGGTCACCTTCTCCTACTTGGTGGGGAGAACAATAGCTTCAGGAGCAAAACCCAGTCTGGGGGGGTGGGTGATGGATGGTCAGCAGGAGGAAAGAAACTGCTAGTTTTCTGTTCTTGAGGTCCGCGAGGAGGGAGGCTGGCCTGTGAGACAAAGCCTCAGGTCCGACAAGGCAAAAAATACTGCTGAATCTCCTAGATGTGCACCACGTTGGGGGAAAGCCAAGAGTTTGCACTTAGTCTACTTGCAAAAGCATTCACCACCACCACCAGGGAGGAAGTGTAGAGGTGGTAGAGAGACAGGGCTCCTGAGTCAGGGGGCTGAGTTCAAATCCTGACCCACTGACTCTCCACAAGAGGCCCTAGATGCCTTATGAAACGTGAGTTGTTACAGTACTTTACACATCTTATATTTTAAACGAAACCTTTACAAAAGCAACGAGTGATGGTTTAGAGGCAGCTCTCAGAAAGACATTTGAATTGGGAGAACATTAAAAAACAAAACAAAACCTTCGTACCAGCCAGCCCAGAGCAGACACTTCATAAATATTCTTTCAATTAGACTAAATGCAAACTATCACTTGGTTAAGGAAACAGTTAAGGAAAGGACCCGACACGTGATCCATGGCACAATTTCGTACTTTTTCTTTATTTCACAAATGACCATGTCGTTTTGTATTGGCACTGTCCTGAGCATCTTCCACTCACCTATCCTCACAACAGCCTTCCAAGATTACAGGTAAGGAAACCAAGGCCTGAGAGGTTAAGTAACTTACCAAAATCACACTGCTAGGAAGTGGCCACACAGTGATTCAAACCCAACTTGCTAGCTCAGGGTTCCTGCCTAACCTCCAAGCTGCACTGCCTTTGTCTGCACCTCTGCTTCAAAGCTAAGGACCAGAGACCCGGAAAGAGTTCATTCTCCACTCTCCACGCCGAAGGGTCCTATTACCAAGGAGGCTGAGCCTTTTGCCACTACGGAGGGGTCTGTGGTTCCATACACCATGTGTTCCTTTCTTTCAATGGATTAAACACCCCCAGGGAAGTGGAAGTTTACAAATCGTAAATATTTTGCTTGATGATTTCTTACCTACGTGTGTACCCACCTCCCAGATGGAAATATGAGACATCTCCAACACCCCAGAGCCTTCTGTGTGCCCCCCACACCAGTCAGCGGCTATCTACTCCAAAATGTGACCACTATTCTGACTCTTCACACCACAGATTCGCTTTGCCTTTTCTACAGTTTCATGTAAATGGCATCATAGGGAGTCATATCTTGGTCTATATTCTACAAATAAAACACACACATGTCACCAGGACACTGACAATGAGCTTGGGAGAAGGGAGGATATAGCTGACAGTTTCTTTCTCCTGCAGTAAGCTCCAGGATTGTGTTTTTATTTTGGCTCACTGACCAATGAAAGGGGATGATGGGGAGAGCGAAACGCGAGGTTAGAACCACACTGAGTTGACCCGTGAAAAACCAGCGACCCGCAGGGGCAAAGGAGCTGTCTCTTCTGGACCGGGTACTGCGGGGAGCAACGAGCCAGGCGGCCACCTCTGTGGCTCTGGATGTCCAGAGGGGAGCACGCTTTCTGAGGCTTTAAAAATCTCAAATCTGGTTCCTCCAGCGCCAGAGGCACCCGGGGTGGCCAAGCTCCTCCCGGTTTGGCCTCTGCAGCTCTCCCCCCCCCCGCTCCGCCCCCGCGTTGACAGTTTCCCAAAAGATCAGGAATTCCCCCAGAAGGCGCGCTTCCCTACCTGTGCACTCTTGGATGAAGTCCTGATATTCCGCTCCCTGCTCGCCGGGGACGATGGTGGAGCCGTCATACTTAAAAGTCACCCTTTGGATTGGGAGAAGAAAAACACACACACACATGAGCGACGGTAGTAGCTGTACGGCGCCGAGCTTCCAGCAGGACAACGTAAAAGATGCTCTGGCTGGGGGGAAGCCAGCGCTGGCCTTCCACGCTGTCCTGAGTTAAGGCTGCGGGAGACAGCTCGGGATGACCCTTAATCCGTCCCGTCTGGAAGACGGCTCAGGGCACCAGGCCCCTCGCGAGCTCGGGGAGCGGGGCTTGGAGAGCAATGGAAAGTTCCTCACCAGATGACTGCCGAGCCGTCGTCGCGCACCAGGTTGTACGCCGCCCGGCAAGCCTCCTTGTCGATCTTGGTGGCCATGGCCGCAGGGCCGCAGCGGGAACACTCTGCCCGGAGCGACCGAGCGCCCCCCGGGCTGGCCGCAGGGATCGGAGCGCGGCGGGGACGCGCGGAGGGCGGGCGGCAGTGGCGGCGACGACAGCGACGCTGGGCGCGAGCTGCGAGCTGCGAGCGCGGCGGAGGCTCCGAAGGCGCACCGAGAGCGCTCCGGGACCCGGGCGGCTCCGCCACGCCCCCCTCTGGCCATTGGCTGCCTGACCGCGGGGGCGGGGCGTCTTGACTGGCCTGCGACCAATCCCAGTCCGGGCGGGTTGCGCAACTCCGTGGCGGGGGCTGGAGGAGGGGCTTTGTGCTCCTACCAACCCCCTTCGTGGTCTCCCACTCCTCCCTCCTACTCCTCGCATTTCCTCCTCCCCAATCCCTCTTTCTCCTTTCCTTCACCCTTCTCTACTCCCTCTCCCTGCTCCCCCCTCCCCTTACTTGTGTCTCCCCCTCTTTATTCCTTCCGTAGACCTCTCCTCTCCTCCCCCTCCTTGCTCCTCCCACTTCCCTAACCCCTCTGCCTCCTCTTCTTTTATCTCCTCTCCCTTCCCTCTTCCTTTTTTCCTCTCCCCATTATCCCCAACACCAACCCATGCCCCTTCCTCCCTGTCCCCTCCTCCTCAAGTTCTGTTCCTCCCCTCCTCCCTTCCCCCCTCCTCCCTTCCCCCACCACCCAGGCTGCCCGGCTGCAGAGCTCCTTGCCTCCGAAGGGAGCCTCCAAGTGGGTGACTTAACGCAGCGAGCCAAAGGAGTCAGCTCCCACCCCAGTGTTTGGCTCTTTGGTTTCTAGGTGGGGAGGAATTGGAAAGAATTAAGCATTTCAAATAGGAGGGGATAGAAAGTGGATTGCTTCCAAAATGCTGGTGGGATCACTGTTTACTTTGTATTCTGGTTATTTGCATTCACGTCTAATCTCCCCCTTTGGGTTCCTCTGAGTGCAAGAGCTGACTCATTCTGTCTTCCTCACTCCCTCACTGACTCACTCATTCATTCCTCATCCTACCATTCCACAAAGACCAGTTACAGTGTCGAGGCAGGTAAAAATGTCGGACCCTGGAAACCAGGCTTTTGAATTACATCCAGCGCTGCCACTTTCTTACTGTGGGCCCTTGGGCGCTCGAGCCTCAAACACTCTGAGACTACCTTCCTCAAACGGGATGATAATAATAGTACTAACATTATGGGTTTGTCTATGGTTTGATGGAAACATACATAAAAACAAATATATTAGATATTCAATAAAAGGTCATTGTTGTTGGTTATTAAGTAATTAAGATAAATCCTAAATAGAAAGCCAAAAAGTCAAGGATGATGTCCAATTAATAAAATTCTCAGTGGCAAACAAGAAGAATCAATCAGTGGGTGAGTAAATGGGTGAGTGGCTAGGACGACATTTTGAGAAAAATAGGAGTCGGTGTTGCTGTAAATAAAAAGACAAAAACAAATTCCAGTTTGAAGTAGCCCAAAGCATTTCCTATCTTACTCCTTGATGAAGGTAATGATACAAGTGGCCTTTGGAAAGAAAAACAAGGATGGATTCCTACCTCACACCATTGATCGAGATAAATCTAAAAGCATCAAAGATTTAAATGTGAATAAAGGAAACCACAGAAGTTGCAGAAGAAAAGCATGGGAAGGTGTATTCACAAGTCTGGAGTGGGAAAGGTCCTTCAGCCAAGTCCAGAAGCTAGAACAAAAGATGGGTATATTCAAATATATAAAAAGTCTTCAAGGAAAAAAAAAACCATAGTGTCTCATGCAACGTGTAAAAACAAAAGACGAAGCAGTGCATAAGTATTTGCAACCCACATAACAAAGAATTCCTCTTGTCTATATATAAAGAAGCCAATCTAAACAAAAACAAAAACTGAACGGGCAAAGGCCACCCCGAGACAGACCTAATGGCTCTTAAATATATGCTCACTCTCAGCCCAAATTAAGGCGGGACTGAGATACCTTCAAAATAAATTAGCAGCGGGGAACCTGGGGGGCTCAGTCGGTTAATCAGCTGCCTTTGGCTCGGCTGGGGTCATGACCCCAGGGTCCTGGGATGGAGCCCTGTGTCAGGGGTCCCTGCTCGGCGGCAAGTCTGTTTCTCCCTCTCCCTCTGCCTGCTGCCCTGCTTGCTCAGGCTCTCTCTCTCTCTCTGTCAAATAAATAAAATCTTAATAAATGAGCAGGTCATCAAAGATCAAAGTTCTACAAGCCTGCTTTGCGGTGAGGCTAGGAAGACCTAGGCCCTTTCATGCTGGTGGGAGTGCATGTGGACATAAACCCCAACAGAGGCCACTTGGCAGTATCTACCAAATTTGCGATTCTCTGTGGTCTTGACCCATCAAGTTCCCCTAGAGATCAGGGTGCCCAGGGCTGGCTGTACGCTGGGGTTTCCATGATGCCCTGGGTCCCACACTCAGAGATTCTGATGTAATTGATCTAAGGTTCTGGATATTTGAAGGGACTGGGGTGGGGATCACTCCCGTGATTCTCATGCACAGCGGGGTTGTAACCACTGCTATACTCACGCTCACATGTGTGTAATTCTTTTCAAGGTTATTCACTGAGCTTTATTTCCAGTAGCAGGAAGTTAGGAGCAACCTGAGAGCCCATCGATAGGGGGCCTGGACAAATAGAAATGACACAGGTCTGCCAGGGAGAACCAAGGCAGCTGTGAAAGAGAGATGGGGGAAGGGAGGTTGGGGGGGGGGTGCTGCGACCTTCTCTGTGGACTGATGTGGAACATTCTACAGATACATCAGGAGCACGCAAAGCAAGGTACAGACCAATATGTTCAGCATACCTTTTGGTGTTGCTACATTTTGGTTAAAGTTGGGGGTGTAAATAGATATTTCTATTTGTTTATGCATGCATAGAAACCTTTGGAAGAGCACACAAGGGAAAAGTAACCATTGTACCTGTGGTACAGGTGAGGTTGGAAATCAGGCAGAAGGGGAAGGGGATAGAAGGGAGATTTCACCAAATGCCATCCTATTTATTCCATTCTATTCCGGAACCATGTGAATGCATTATCTATTCAGAATATATTAAGTAAAGCCCCCCCCAGTCCCTCGCAAAGGTGGCCCCCATCCTGAATATGACTCCACAGCTCAGCATCACTGGAGAGGGGACCTTGCCTGGATTTCGCCTTTAACGTTGTTTTCCTTCTATTCGTTGCTGTTGTCGCCCCCTACTGGACGGAAAATGTAAAGGGTCGGTTTTCAAGGGAAGGTGATTCTGAGCTCCCTGAGGTCAACTTGCCCCAGCTAAGGCAGAAAATGAAACTTCACACCGGAACTAAATGCCTGTCAATATTGGTTTAAATCGAAATCCACACAATATGAAAAGCAATCTAATTCATGTTTCTTTAGAAATCAAATAAACATTTTTGACACTTTGTGTAATGTACAGTGTCAAGAATTGAGGGAGTGTTATAAATTCATTCATTCATTCATTCATTCATTCATTCATTCATTCATTCATTCATTCCTGGCACTGGGCCTATTATATGTCCAAGGGGATCACAAACTCACTTACCTGCAGGGGGCAGGCACGTAATGTAAATGAGCTAAGATGCACTCCATAAGGAAAATTTTTCTGGAGAAGGTGATCCTCTATTCCGCCCTCCTCTGGCTGTCAGTTTCATCTTCAGAGCTGACATCAAAAGGGGACCACTGGTCTTCAGCTCTGCCCTCATTGCCATGAAGGAATCTTAGCTTGGTGGTGCCAAGCCCTCCAGTTGTCTAAGAAAAGCAAACCAGGGGCATCTGGGTGGCGCAGTCAGTTGGGTGTCTGACTCTTGGTTTCAGCTCAGGTCGTGATCTCAGGGTTGTGGGATCGAGCCCCGAGTCAGGCTCCAAGGTTAGTGTGGAGTCCGCTTAAGACACTCTCTCTTCCTCTCCCTCTGCAGCTCCCTGCCTGCTCGTTTTCCCTCTCTCTCAAATAAATAAATAAATCTTAAAAAAGAAAAGAAAAGAAAAAGATCTGGACCTCTTTATGAAAACTCTTGATTCTTAAACTTTGGCAATAGAGATGTTACATACAAGAGCTCCCTATGTGCAAATCTGAGCTAGACAAACGCTCCCGTGGCCCTCATGGGGCTTACAGTCTAGTAGGAGAACAAACAGTCCCTTCAGTCTGAGCACTATTGCTTATTAACAACGGAAAATTCTATTCAAATAGGCTTCCACAGTGGAGGGCAAGTAATAGCTCAGAGACTGAAAAGCCCAGAGCTAAGGGGGCTTCCGGCATGTCATGATCAGGGTTTCCCCTCTGTCTTTCTCACTGTTTCTTTTTTTTTTTTTTAAGATTTTTTTTTTTATTCATTTGAGACACAGAGATACAGAGAGAGACAGACAGACAGAGAGAGAGAGAGAGCATGAGCAGGGAGAGAGGCAGAGGGAGAAGCAGGCTCCCCGCTGAGCCAGGAGCCCGATGTGGGGCTCGATCCCAGGACCCCGGGATCATGACCTGAGACGAAGGCAGAAGCCCAACCATCTGAGCCACCCAGGTGCCCCTTTCTCACTGTTTCTGATGGTCAAGTTTTCTTCCTTGTGCATCAGTTTCTGCTTCTCATGCAAACTCTGCCCCTCTGCCTGGCACAGCCTGCCCCAAGCACTGCAGAGCTGACCTCTCATCCAGACCTCCAGTGTTAGCCTCAGAGAGGCTTTCCGCAGCACCCCAATTCAAAGAGGCCCCTCTGTAATGTCCACTGGTCACTCTCTATCACATAACCTCCTTTTGGTTTCCATGGCAGTAATCACTGTCTGAAATCATCTTTTTCATTTATCTCTTTACTTGCATATTGTGCATCTGCTCTCAGAAGAATATCAGGTCTGTAATGGCAGGGACAGTGTCTGCCTGGCTTACCACTGTAGGCCCATGTCCAAACACAACACCAATCCCAGACAGATGCAGAGTTTACTGCCTCTGAGTGGATGGATGGAGGATGAAGGAGAGGGAAAGGCCAAGGAAGGGGATACCTGCAGAAGGATAAACATACAGATCAAGGGAGTACCACTGAGAGTCCAGAAATGAACTCTTACATTTATGATCAATTGCTTTTCTTTTTCTTTTTTTAAGATTTATGTATTTATTTGAGAGAGGGGGAGGGGCATTGGCAGAGAGAGAGAATCCTCAAGCA